CAGGGATGTGCAGGTTAGGGTGGATTGGCCGTGGGAAATGCAGGGATAGGGTGGGTCTGGGTGGGATGCTGTTCAGAGGCTTGGTGCAGACTTGGTGAACTGAATGCACTGCTGAATCTACACGGTAGGGATTCTATGATTAGCCAGTAAGACTGTTCTCACTGGAAAAGAGAAGTGATCTCAATAGAGGGTCTTTCAGACTTCTTTGAAGGGATTTGACAAAATAGAACATAGACCAAAATGTTTCCGCTTATAGGTGAGACCAAACTTCAGGGCCATCAATGTCAGATAATCACCCTCAAAGTCAACAGGGAACTGGGGAGAATGCTCTTCACAGGCTGAGGGTCTGGCACAGCGGTAATGCTGCTGGATTCATAATCCAGAGGTTCAGCCTCTACCTTTGGGGCACAGGTTCAAATCCCAGCCCTCAGCTCAAGGGACAATTACCTGCAACACATTTTGTTTTTAAACGGAATTATCGAGGCAGACTGGGCTGACGTATTTAAGGGCTGGTGTGTGTCTGTGTGTGAGGAGATTTCTGTGCGCTCAGTGAGTGGCCTGTTTGAGCTGGAAGTGCCCATTAATACCTTGCCCTGTGTGGCTTCGCAGAGGCGGGTGACAGACCGAGCGCCACCCCCACAGCACCGGCCCCCTCCGAAGAGCCAGCCGACGAGGAGGATGCGGCAGACAAGTGGGACGACGAAGACTGGGGTAGCCTAGAGGTAAGTGCTTGTTTGGTGCCATTGCGGCGGGGGGCATGAATCTCGCCTGGACAGTCAGAAGGAGGCATGTCAGTGCTGCGTACGGGGTTCTTTGTTGTGGAGACAGTTGCCGAGAGGCAGGGTCACCGAGACCGTGCCACGCTCCTCCTGTCTGATACAAAGAGGCCACCCACTACCCAGCTGCGATGGGTCTGCTGCAACCTTTTGTGTGACCGGTTACTCCCTGATTTGTAAACAAGAGACCGAGCAGTCGGAGGGGAAGGTGGGCTAGAGCGGCAGTTCCAACTGGTCACTGGGTGTAAATAACGAGAGAAAAACAAACGAGAGAACGATGGGTGTTTCTATGTCCCTGTGAGCTGGCTGCATCAGGGGTGTGGGGGTAGGCGGAGGCTTCCTGAAGGGGAGCAGTTCTGCCCGTTGACCCTGTGCCAGCTCTTGGAAAAGAAGTTATCCGACTGGGCCAGACTGCCTGCTGCCCTCAAACTCCCCTGAAAGGCCTTTCCACGGGTTAATGGCGCTATATAAATGTGGGTCACCACTGCTGTCATGTGAGTCCAGTCTGCAGGAGGGCAGAATGTGGAACTTGCTTCCACAAGGAGAGTGGCTGAGGCAGATAGGGTGGATGTGTTTTAAACGTGGGTAAATGGGCGAGGGCAGGAGGGAATGGAGGGATCTTTATGGGTTGGGAAGAGGGTTTGCCGGCACCATCAGTAACAGCAGTTTGGAGTAGATGGACCAAATGGCCTGTACCTGAGCTGGTCCCGTTTATCTAACACAGCACTGCAGTTTGTTCGTCTAAGTATTGACGGGTTTCACTTTGAAACTTTCCTTTTGATCAATGCACCCGCCACCCAGCATGTTCCAGATCATTGTAACGGTGCTTAGAGAATTCTGCTCATTTTCCATCTGAAACTTTGGTGTCGGTTAGCTCAGTGTGTTCCTGTCCAATTTCCAGCCTGCCTTTCTCTGGAAACCGTCTCAACTTACTCGGAACCCCTCGCGGTTTGGAACTGGTCAGTATCCGCGCCCCCACTTTCCTCCAAGGGGAACAAGCCCAGCTTTTCATAAGATAGCAGTAGTTAGATAGGGAGCAGCAGAACAGAAGGAGGCGATGTGGCGGTATTCATTGGCCTTTACTAGATGGGTGAAGGCTCTCACTTAACGTGGAGCACGCGTGACGCTGGGTGGCACGGGGTAGTGATAACATCCCTGGGTAAGTAATCCAGAGACCCACGTTAACATACTGCGGTGCACAAGTTCAAATCCCACCACGGCAGGTGCTGAAATTTAAATTCTATTTTTAAAATCTCTGCAATAACTAGCTAACCAGTCTACAGCTCCTGCCAGCTTGTCGTAAAGGGCTATGTATTTCACTAATGCCTTTGGGGTATCCTTACCCAGCCTGTGACTCCAAACCCCCATAGCACCTGGGGTTGGCTGTGGGCAATACATACTGGCCTAGCTGGTGCCACCCACATTGTGTGAGCAGTTTTGAAAAAGAGAATTGGAGGCGCGCAGGACATTTCAAACGTGTTTTGCCGTTTACAGAACGTCTCTGCCAGCGGCAACAAGGATCCCAGTCGCGTGGCTTCGGACTGGGACACTGCGGGCTGGGGTGTGAGCGACAGCTGGGAACCGAAAGCGGCCCAGGATCAGGGTCCCGCGGAAACAGATAGCTGGACCAGCGAGTGGGGCAATGAGCTGATGCTGAGTCAGAGCAAGACCCTGAAGGCGAGGGCCTCGGCGATTCGGCAGGAGGTGCGGTTGGCGAGTGAGTACAACTGGGACGGGACGAGTGGCCTGAGCAAGGACGAGGACTTATTCGCCACTCTCAGTCAGCCATCTTCAACAAGCCAGGTAACTAGTATATACCCCTGGACGGGGACTGGCCACGCGCCCCCCGGGACGGGGACAGGTATGAGACTGGGTTAGATATAGTGAAACTCCTACTCTTTTTTTAAATGAAAGATAAAGCATCCTCGACCCTGTTTCCATCCAACACTGTCGGAACAGATGCAGCATAGGATTAGATAAAAACGCTCTTAACTACCCTCTGGGGCGATAATTGCTGGCCTAGCCAGCAACGCCCTCCTCCTGTGAATGAATTTGAGAAAACCCACGTCAAGATTCCTCCTTCACCCGAACATACATTTTGTCTGCTGGTATTTCTCTGTCTGGTTCGGCTTGGACCAACTGCCTATTTACTGGGAGCACCAGGGAATGCCTGAAAATGTGTGCTCTCCTCTCACTGCCCAAACCATTATTCAGGTTTGGTTTGTCCCCTTGCCATAAATAGATGGATTTGGGAATCGACAGAAATCCTTATAATCTGGACCGGTGAAACTAGCGCTCAGCTGCGGCCCCTATTGCAGACACTTAAGTACAATGTTTGAGCTGGTATTCTGTCACTTCTCATTGGTCGAGCCCAATGAAAAGTTCTCCCTGGGGCCAATACTTCTCCCTCAGCCAGCCACACCAATGAAAAGTCGTCAGAGCATTATTGCAGGGCTGCTAGTGGGAGCTTGCTGTGCGTAAATTTGGTGCCGCATTTCGTACATCGCAACAGTAGCTACACTTTGAAAAGCATTTCATTGGTGGTTGGGACATCATGGGAGAGGTGAGAAGCGGCTGGATGTAGGACAGTGTTTACGCAGTTGTATCACGTGTCCTCATTTCCACAGAAAGACGAGGATACGTGGAATGTGGACCCCACAGCTGGCTGGGACACCGAAGAAAACTGGGAGTCAATCGAAGCTGAACCAGGTCAGTTCACTGAAATGTGGAGTTGACAGCAGGTGGATAAATGAATGCACAGGAGTGTGGAACTTCCGTGGTTTTTCTGTTGATGGAATATTGCGTTTGAGAAGTTTGTGTGCCGTCATGTTCAGCACAACATGATGGGCCATAGGACACATTCCTGTGCTGTTGAGTTCTATGTTCTATAAATCCAAGTACCTCTTGGCTTTGAGCAGACATGGGAATAGAAAGCATTTGAGTTCTGAGAACCTTGCTTTAGTGAATGTTGATTTGAGCCCACGCTGAGTGAAATGTAGATTCTCTGCAGGTGAAGGCTTAGATGGATGTGAAATCATGGGTTCAGGACCAAGGTCAGAGACTAGATATTCCAGCACCACCTCTTGCCCCTTCCAAAATCAATTACTCTCTGAGCACTGCCATAAGAGTTGTAAATCTGTTTTAATCAGAAGCTTCATCACATTTCACTTGTCGGCCCTCAGCACCCCTATACCAGCTCTGTACTAGTCCAAACAGTGACCACACGAAAGGATGAATTATAATGGGAGAAACAATGGGAGCATTTCAAAAATTTGTGGCAATGACCGTTTTAATGTGGATGTAGACATTAACAAATCAGATGGACAAAGGTAGCCTTAATTGAGATGTCTTTTCAGGATAGTTTTGTGGAACGCATTGTGGGTCTGACCAGACAGCTGGCTGGAATTAATTCATTACCTCATGGTGAAGATGCCCCTGGTTAACAGCAGTCGTAATCTCATTGAATTTCTGCTTAGTTTGAGGGATAGAAAACAGACTCAGTCCAAGACTAGTATTTTAAATTTTAATACGGGTGATTGAGGGCACACGAGGTAGCTAAACTGAACTGGCAAATGTGGAATACCTCAATAGAAACGCAGTAGCCAATATTTCAGAACAACGGGATACATTCCAAGTTAAGAACCTACCATCCGTCATCAACTTTAAATAGAATCATGCAATTATCCAAAGATGGAAGACAGGGCAGAATATTAGAAACACATCTTGATTTCAAATAGCTCTTCATATGATTTCTGATTGCTCAAAGCCAAGAGGTAATACTAGACACAATTATACTTTGAATTCCAGAAATGCAATGGAGGAATGGGGAAATCACTTCAGGGAAGTGGTACAGAGCAAATTGTCAGGCAGACAAGTTCCTGATGGACTTCATTCTAGGGTCTTAGAAGTGGCTAGTAAGATAGATGATGAATTTTTTCTAAGTTTCGAAAAGTTCCTTGAAATTGGAAAATAGGGAGTCTAACCCCTTTATTCGAAAAGGGCAGACAGAAAGCAAGGAACTATAGGCCAGTTAACATCTGTTATAGGGAAGATGTTATGTGCTGTCAAAGATGTTATAAAGATGTACATACTTAGAAATGTTCGTGACAGTCAAGCAGAGTCAATATAATTTTGTGGAAGGGAAATCACGTTGAATATTGGAGTTCAAGGAAGTAATGTGCTGTGGATAAAAGAATTGGTGATATACTGTACTTGCATCTGCTGAAAGCACTCAATAAGGCACCAGATCGAGGATATTGCGGGGGATAATGTATAAGCATGGACAGATTAGGTAGCTAACAGGAAACCAAGTGGTATCACAAGAGTTGTTTTCTGGTTGGCAAAATGCAATGAGTGGTGTCTCAGCGATCAGTGCCTTTTACCATGTGCACAGAGGATCAGAGGTGAGGTTATTAAATTTGCTGAATGCACAATTTCCTATCTTAAGTTATGAAGAGGACATTGGGAGGCTACAAAGGGATATAGATAGGTGAAGCAGGCAGGCAAAGATCTGACAAACGCAGTATTATGTGGAAAAATGTGAAATTATCCAGTTTAAAAAGTTGCCTAAATGGTGAGATTGCAGAGCAAGCTGGGTATTCTATCACATGAATCTCAGATTATGCAGATGCAACAATTAACAATAGACTGGATTGGTTAGTACTATATTCACTGGAGCTTAGGGCAGTGAAGAGGGATGTCATAGAATTTGACATCTTTCTAACAGGAAAGATGTTACTGATAACTGGGGAGTCCAGAAACAGGGGCCATTATCTAAGGATACAGGGTCAGCCATTCAGGACTGAGATGAGGAACTTATTGACACAGACAGTGGATTCTCTGCCAACCATTCAACGTTTGCAAGAAAAGTTAGAGATAGTTCTTAGGGCTAAACGGATTGAAGGGTATAGGAAGAAAGCAGGAACAGGGTACTGAATTAAATGATCATACACTATCATGTTGAATGGTGGAGCATTGCTGAGACCACACCTGGGGTACTTTGGTCTCCCTATGTAAGCAAGGCTGTAAATGGGGTTTACTAAAGACAATTCACCATTTTCTGGTATTATGGGTATTGTAGACTTGATAGAAACAGACAAAATCCTGATGCGGAAAGGATGTTTCCTCTTGTGGGAGAATTTAGAATTGAGGATTGGCTATTTAAAACAGGTGAGAACTTATTTCATGTCCAAAAAGAACATGAGTTGGTGGAGTCAGAATTATTGAATAGTAGAATGAAATGCCATGGTCAAGGGGAGAACTCCTAATTTAAACAATATAAATACTTGTCTTTAGAATCATAGAATCTATATGGTGTGGGAGCAGGCCATTGGACCTATCAAGTCTACTTGGACCCCCAGATCCACCCCAACCCTGTAAACCTGCATTTCCTATGGCTAACTCACTTAGCCTGCGTATCCTCGGACATAGTGGGCAAATTTAGCATGGCCAATCCACCTAACTAAACATCTCTGGATTGTGAGAGGAAACCCACACAGTTGCCCTAGGGTGGAATCCAGTCCCTGGTACTGTGAGGCAGCAGTGCTAGCCACTGTGCTGCCACAAATTCTATGATAGCAGAAGTCCCAAAGATGTGCAGAATGCTGTTATTTGCAATGTGTGTACCACCTTTTGGGTGAAATGTTCCCTCGTGCAGAACGAATGGCGTACTTTTGATATCTCGCAGATCAGGAACTGAACCCTTGGTTGGGACAGAAGGATCTCCCACCCTGAATAAATTACAAGGACGAGGATGCAAGCAAGCAAGCAGAACACCTGTCCAACGAGGCAATGGCTGTAAGGTTTTGGAGTAGATTTGTAGCTTAGGTTGTGGGGGTTGAGGTTGGTTGGCTCACCAAGCTGGTTTGTTGTTCCGCAGACGTTTTGTTACCGTGCTGGGTAACATTATCAGTGCAGCCTCCGATGAAGTGTCAGTGTGTCTTCCCGCCTGGTTTTTAAACTCCAGTCCTTTGAGCTGGCTTGCCTCACTTCCGGTTTTCCTTCGTAGTGGAGTGTATATGGGGTCGAGTTCTGTGTGTTTATTAATGGCTTTCTTCGTGGAGTGCCAGGCTTCTAGGAATTCCCGTGCCTGTCTCGGCTTAGCTTGTCCTGGGATTTTGGTGTTCCCAGTCGAACTGGTGGTTCTCCTTGTCCATGTGGATTGAGATGAGTGAGTATTGGTCGTGCCTTTTTGTAGCCAGTTGGTGTTCGTGTACCCTTGTTGTTAGTTTCCTTCCTGTTTGTCCGATGTAGGGGATCTTATAGATGACATTGGTCCTGTCCATGGTGGGGAGTGGGTCTTTAGTTTGGGTGAGCAGGCATCTTCTGACCCAGTTTTTTGGATATCCATTATCCTTGAAAACCTGGAAGAGGTATTCTTCCTCTTGGTATAGTTCAGTGTTCACTCGCAGCTTCGTTTGTGTGTGTGTGTGGCTTTTCTGTTTACTTTTGTCTTGCGCTCTACCATGATGTTCAACAATGGGAACCGTTTGTTCTTCTCCTCTGGTGAATTTTATTCCGGTGAGGGTCTGTTTAATCCAAATGAAATCGGTTGTCAGGGGACCGATTTGGGCTGACCTGTAACCTGTGGTTTTGAGTATTTGACCAATTCTTTGTAACGTCTGCTCACTTCACTTCAGGACTAAGCAAATCAGATCTTGCCAGAAAGAAGCGGGAGGAGCGGAAGAGAGAAATAGAGGCAAAGAGAGCAGAGAGGAAAGCTGCCAAAGGACCATTGAAGCTTGGTGCCCGAAAAGTTGACTGAAGTGATGCAGCTGCTGGGGCTGATCACTCTATGACAGTGCAATTAAGTGTTCCATTTCATTCCGAGAGAGGCCATTGCAGGGAGTCCCGCTGTGTTTTCAATCGAACCTAAAAAAGCTTTAACCCCCCACCCCTTTTTCTTCACAAGTTGATTTGTTTCTTCTGGAGCCTCGACTCACGTGGAATTCTGTGCTATGCAGTATGTAAGGACAGAGGAGAGAGTCGGAAGTGGATGAAGATGCACCAAACAAACAGTTGGATTCTCAAAAGCATGATAAGAAGTTGCTGGTTTCAGATTACGTGTGCAACTCCTCAAAAACGTGGAACCTTTACATCGAGATCATGCCCTGTTTGGATATCCATTGTATGAGACTGTAGTGCAATTACATAGCTGTGCAGTAAAAAGAAATCTTTTGAAGCTAACAGGCCATTGTGACTTTGTTTGTGCATAATTTAAGTCTCACCCTAGGACAGTAAAACAACTGAGGAATATAGAGATAACAAGGTGTAGAACTGGATGAACACAGCAGGCCAAGTGGGATTCTGAAATAAAGCAGCAGATAGGTGGAGGTGTTCATCCAACTCTACACAATCTCATTCTCCAGCAATCAGCAGTTCCTAATCCCTGTATTTACTTAGACTGCTCATATTTGTGGACAGAAAGTAGTTGGTATCAAGTCTGGTATCAAGTCTTCAGATCCAACTTCAACCTTCAAGTGATTTCCAGCATCCACAGCTCTTTATTTTCATGTTGTTTATTCTGGTTTTTTTACTAATATCTTTCCAGTTCTCAGGAACATCAATGTGATGTGTACCATTAGTGGATCGACTGCCTGAACCTCCATTAAAAGTGTTCTGATCTAAACAATGGACATCAAAATAGGTTCCACAACTGACAGATTTATTAAGCATACATTACATACACAAGTTTAGTTGAGAAACATTTATTTCAAAACTAGTGAAGCATCAAGTACAGGAGATGCTCTCGCTGTTGAAGGTTGAATCTGTAGTCAATGCTACTGCTAAACAAAAACAGGCCACCAAAGCCCATCTGCATCTGCTTGTGACCTAACTCTACATTCATGCATATTCCCAAAAAGTCTTCCAACCCATTGGTCATTAAACCATCAACCTTGAGAAAAACATGCTTTTAAATTGGGCAACCCCTTAAACATTTCGTGCTAGTTCTAAATGGTCCTACAACAGAAAACTAAGACACAGCAGTAGAATTAGGCCTTTTAGCCCATTAAATTTGAGCTAACTTGATCAAGAACTTGACTCCACAGATTAAATTCATGAATCCCTGGTATGGAAGCAGGCCATCTGGCACATCAAGTCTGCACTGACCCAACCCCACATTTCCCATGGTCAATCAACTCTAACCTGCACATCTTCTGACAGAGGAAAAACACAGACAGACAGGTGGAGTCAAACCTGTGCCCCTGGTACTGAGGCAGCAGTGCTAACCACTGAGCTACCCTCTGACTTCAGAAATGCCTCATCTCAGTTCTAAGGGGTCATCCCTTGAGGCTATACCTCCAGATCCTAGTCTGAGTAGAAACATCCCATGTCAACTCTAAGGCCCTTCAGATTGAAACTCAATACTGACTACCTCCCCCCAATTTCATTCAGTACAGATCTAGAGTCCACAAGCCACAAGCCACAAGCCCACCTCACAAGGTTTTAATCTCCAGGAACATCACCGACTTCCATTAAGGCTTTGACTTACCTAAACTAGTAAACTTTCTCTGGACTGCTTCCAGCATGTGAACATCCTTCTGCAAGTATGGCAATCAGTACTGTACACAATTCTCCAGCTGCCATCTCACCAATGCCCTGTATAACTGAAGCATCATCTTCATTCAAATCACCTTTGCAATGAAATGCTATTAGAAAATCAGACACTCACTCTGTAGATGCTGCAAGACCTACAGAACTTCTCCAGCTATTTGTTTTTGTTTTGTGACATTTTATTAGCTTCCCTGTAGCTGCATACAAACCCCGATTCATTCACAAGATCATGCTGCATTTTTTAATAACAATTTCACAATGTTCCCCACATCTTTGTCCAATCATAACCCATCAATATCTCATTGCAGACTCCGTACATCCTCTTCATAGCTCACTGTCCTGCCCTTGCAGCAACCATATAAATTCCTTCCATCCAAATCATATGTAGATTGGAGGCCTCACCACACCATTTACCACAGCAGATTGGATGTCATAAAGGGCCCATTTATTCCTAATGCTTCCTATTAGGAAGCCATTTTCTATGGCTATGTCACCCCAACACCATGAGCTTTCATTTTTCTCCAGTGTTCTGGAAAACTAAACAATTCATCCAGCTTTCCCTTTATCTACAACACAAATAACTCCAATAAGTTACATATCATTTCAGTTTTGCTTGAACCTTGAACTTTATTCAAAAAGACCAAGTAGGGAAAAGTTACACAAGCTACTTTTCAACCTGCAGGAACCTTCCAAAAACTTAGTTTAGGGAAATTAAACCTGGATTCAAAGCATTTATCAAACAAATCAGCTGGACCTACATTTGAACTACAAATAACAGCCATACTCTCCACTAATAAGTGAACCCAGTCAATAAGAACAATTTCACGTGTGTGTGCAGTTTAGACTCAAGACTGGCATGAGCATGCTGTAGAATACTTGCAACTGAAAATCCAAATATACTTTGTCTATTACTCAATCTGTGGCAACTTATCCAACATGGCTTCCACAGTACAACCAACTCCTCTGCTGGAGAGGATATTGGTTCAGACATCACATTGATCAGATCAATCATTCACTAGATAAATTGAGGCCTTTTAGGAAGAGCAATGAGTTCTGAGCTTAAGTGGCTGAATATTAATATGAAGATAAAGCTAATCTGTACAAAGGTTAAGTATTCAAATGCAGCAGTCTGAAAGGAAATTCTTGGTCATTCATGGTTCCATTGGCACAGCACTCAGATGAAATTTCACTTCAGGGTCTTGGGCAGAGTGCACAGGTGTCATCCCACAATACTGATTCAGCCAGCAGGGCAGTCCCATCTAAAATGGGAAACATTCCAACAAACTGTTTAAATGGTTGATAGGGTGGTGATCAACTAGTATGCAAGTACAGTAATGCATTAATCAAGCAACTGAAATGTATGTTTACACAAAAATGGAATACAATTCAATGTAGCAGTATAGGATTATTGTGACCACTTATTTCTGGCTGCCTTATTTCAGAAGATCCAATTGTTCAAGAGTTCAGAGAAGGTTGACCAGACCCATTTCTGAGATTAAGAACAGCTGAACAGTCCGCTACACATCCACTGGATTTTATTTGATGAGACACAAGATGTGATCTTATTGATACAAATATCTTGACAAACCAAGACATGGTGCATGAGCCATAATATTTGAATAGCACAGCAGAGTCAAAAAGCCAAACAGGATGCAAAAATACATTTGTCGAATTTACAGCTAACATGGTGTTCAAGTCCCAATCTGAGAGATCCCACAGCCACACTAGTGAGCACACCTCACTGACCTTCAGTCAGAGGTCAAATCAGCTGCTACATTTCCTACAAATAACCAAAGTTAGGGATGCATGCATGAAAATTAAGCCATTAATTCTCACTATTAATATTAGAACTCTGTTCCATTGGGCTTTACTTTGAGCTGCTATACCCATTCCTCCAATGGAGTACAAATTACTAACAAGAGATGGATGCAAAAAAGCAGATACTGCAGGGATTCGAACCCTATCCTGGAAACCAGGAGTGCCAGCCACCAGCATCTTTTGCTTTTTTTGGGAGTAAAGTGGTAAGGCAAAAGCAAAACCTGAGAAAACAAGATTTGTTCTCTCAGTAAAAGAAAACCCAACCGCTGCCTAATGAACTCCAAACTCTTTATCCAGGATCACCCAAGTCAAACACGGTAGAAATTCCATCTTAGACCACTGTATTCAAACAATCTGCCTTCGAGAACCTGAAAAATCCCAATCAATAGTTGCGATCCTAAAATGCAGACCCTTTTAAAGAAGCCAGCTATCACCAACCATGTTCATGATGAAACATCTATGTAGTCCATTGATTGTATTATGTTTTGTAATATACGTCCTAAAAATTGAACAGAAACAAACACAGCACAGACAGCCTCTTCAAACAGAAATTCCACAGTAGATGAGCAGAATACTAAAATGACAGCCTCATAAGCACACGATACAGAATGCCAACACTAGAATACTACCTCATTCATACACAATATGCTCACACAATAGCAGCTTACTGATACATTGTTGTACAAAGGTACTTGAGATCATGGAGAATTACTTTTAAGTCGCTGAACTGGAGCTTCAGGGATCTGAAAAACTAAAACACAAGCCATTTGCCCACCCCAGAAGAACCCACTGAAATTTCTTTTAATTATGAAATTGGCACCTGTTGAAGACTGTCCATAGTATTTTCACTTCAGCAGCAAGGACTTGAAACCTGAAAAATTAAGAACAATAATGCTCCCCACCCTAAGTAAACCCGGAGATGGTTTGAATGGGAATGAGATGTACAACCCAAATACAGGTACATCCAAGTCTAAGCAGACTTTGAATTTAAAAGCTAAAGCATGTTGTTTTTCATCCTAACTACTACCTGAATTTTCAAATGAGAATGAGCATCTTTGCATATGTTTCGTGTTAGAAACAAACACTGAAGGTCTGAAAAAACTAAGAATGCCATTGCCCACCCTAAACCCTTTTTCAAAAATAGAAAAATCGAGCACCTGTGTATGGTTTGTCTTGTGTCTAACCAGCTTGAGACCTGAAAGAAATTAAGAACAATATTGTGCCCCCCCCCTCAACTCAAAGGTTTTAAATTATGAAATTTGCACCTGTGTTGAGAAATTTATAGTTGATCCGTGTGAAGTAGCAAGGACCAGAGACCTGAAAAAAAACTAAGAACAATGACAGTGCCCACCCCAAACCCTGTTGAAATGTTTTAAATGTTAAATAAGGTTCTGCACCTGTCCAGCTGAGTCCAGTGTAGTGGTATATTTCACTTGGCTAAGCAGTACAAACTGGAGATCTGAAAGAACTAAGAACAAGGACATTGCCCATCCCAAACCCTTTTGAAAAAATATTTTAGATATTGAATAAGGTTTTACACCTGTCCAGTTAGGTCTGGTGTACTAATATTCCACTTAGCTTTTTGTAATTTGAAATGAGCTTATCTAAGCAGCACAAACATAGCAGCCTAAAAAAACTAAACAGTTAGCACCTTCAGGTAGGCTGTCCAACGCTGTTTATCCACATGGAGCAAATGCTGGATGCAGGGGCAACTAAGGCTGCAATCCTAAACCTCACTGCAAAGTTTCAAGAATGCGCCAGCATCTTGCAAGTGTCCAGTTCCACTTGAACAGCAAAGGGATTGGAGATCTGGA